GCAGTATGCAATACATTTTGGAGCTGGCAACGAAATAGATGTACTGTCTAGAGAGTGCCTGTGAAATTCACCCTTCTCAGAAGGTCACTGTGGCATGTAAATTCCTAGAGAAAAGGCTAAATGGTGTGTAGGTCTCATGCTGGAGTATTACAGAGATTTGAAGTTCATTGTATCAACTATAAAGCTCATCACCACTTTTTCCAGCAGTTTCATAAAGCCACTTCAAGAGATGTTTGCCTGCTATTCGCAGTAGAAGCAAAAGCAGAAAAACAGTATTAGGCTTCCATATCTGGCACCTTTGTATTTTTAAATAGAATGTGAAAACACCTCCAAATAATGTCTTTCAAGTTAAATTAATTTAAAACAAAAATAATCCAGTTGGCACAAAACTGTAATGAAGCTCTCACCAATACAGTACCTGTGCCCCCCAAACATGTTTCCTCCTAAAGCAGATACAGCCTTCCCACTTTCACAACTGGAAGCACTTCTTTTGCTACCAATCCACACTACTTACCACCACCTCAGCAGCAGACTACACTGCGATCTGCAGGTGAGAAATGGCAAGGGGCAACACTTACTTCCTGCTTCCCAGCAGCAACAACTGCCAGGTCCTCATCCAACTCCACCAGGAATAAGCTTCAAGCATTTGGGAAGCAGAACACTTTCCACATGCACCAGTGGAGGACACCCTGCAGGCTATTCATTGCAGGAGTGGCCTGAGGAGGAGGGATGCAGTTCCTCCCACCCCAGCAGTGCTGCTAGCAGGGACATACATGCCTTACCCAGATTCGTTGAACCACAGAAGCCATGCATGTCTCTGGCTGGCTTCATCTGCCATAAGCAGAGCAAGAAGGTTCATTTTCTTTTAAAGAAGAAATGTTCCTTTACCTGGGGGTATATATGCCAGCTCTCACCTGATGTGCACTAACATTATTGCCTACAAGATGCAGGTCAAGAAGGAGCCAAATCCAGTAGGAAGGAGATGCAGGACTGAGAAAAATGTGTTTAACATATTACTCCAGTTTGTGCCTGTCAGAAAATTCTGGAGAGTATGCAGTGATCCGAGCAAGGCTATTGTTCCTCTATAGAGAAATGCAATGCCTTAGGCACCTCAAAAGGTCTTTTTCAAGAGCTCATTAGAAAAAGGCAATGATCACAGAGTTACCGTGTGGGATACGGGTGTGTGTATACTACCCAAACTAGCATTAAATAGCCTTTTATCCTTACTGGTGCTAAATATTGCACAAATGAAAACCACATTTTCAAGAATAAGAGGCACCAGTCATTAAAAAATGAAAATAGATCCTAGAATGCAACCATCCACCAAGCCATGACCAAGACTTTGCAAGCCAGGTGTGCTGCTTATCAGATTGAGCGTGGGAGAAGAGTGCCACGCAGTCAAGAAACAGCAATAGATGACAGTAGGAGACATCCTGATACACAAAAGCAGACACTTGTCAGAATTCTGCTCTATCTTCAAATTTCAAAACAAGACACCTGACCTGCTTCAGATGTTCAATTTCATTTGCTTCAGTACGCTAATTCGGTATAAGAATACACACAGGCAATGCTTCTACTTGTTTTAAAGTAAGAAAGCTTGAAAGACAAATGAAGAAAACCAAAAGTCCCCTGAAATGTAAGCAGAACAGCAGATCTTATTCCCTCAATAGAGCTTTCACCTGTCCAGGGAATAGTTTTGTCTTTTACCAAAGCAACATATCAGCCATGCACCTGATCCAAAGCTGTTCATGCTGGTACAGATTTTGCCATTGACATCCATGTGTCATGAACGAAGCCTTAAGATTCTGAGTTAGCTATGAAGGAAACTCAAGAGCAAACACTGAATATGTAAGTTCAGCCCTAATGTTGCACCACTGAGAAGCGTCACATTTCTACAGCATCACCACACAACACATGAAAAAGTGAAGTCAAACACACACATGGGATGCTACATAATCACTACCAGCTTAAGCCATTACCACCTCACTTATCATTAAATCTTAAGATTTAAAATGAGCTCTTACCTGAAGAGAAAGCAACCTGAAAGAAAAGGACAGAAGAAGGGAAAAAAAAAAAAATAGTGCAAATATTTTATTTTCAGCTATTAGCACTGCCTTTTGATAATTTCCGTACGTTTATTTTAATACAACCACCCTGTTTACTTTTTTCAAAGTTTGTTTCCTCTTCTTTTCATACTACTACACTGTTCAAAAGAATAATACTCATTGTTAGGGAAGAAGCAGTGAAATACATGATGATAAAATACTGTTTGCTTTATGTTCCTTTCAGTAAAACACTTGTATGTGTTTTCGCCCTGGCTTTATTTGTAGAGGCTGCAGTTCAAATAACCCATTTAGATGGATTTAAACTCACCTGAAGTGTCCCTTACATTACATACACTTTCCTTTATGAAATGGGAGAAATCCTCCAAATGTAACAACTTCCAGTTTTGGAATGGACAGGACAACAGCCTCACAGAAACCTGTCCCCATTCTCAAATTTCTAGGTGTCCCTGGACATCACCAAGATCAAGAGCAATATATGTGCAGCTCCTCAGGCAGCCCTGTTGGCAACAGAACTGCTTTCGGTTTTCTTATGTGCCCGTACACTAAAGAAGCCCCATACAAAGCAATCGACAAGGTAGCAGCAATCACCAAGTGCTGGCAGGTCACCACCTAGAGGTGCTTAAAGACAGCTCTTCAGACTTCTGTGAGAGGAAGCTTACCTCTAGGAGCTGATGCACAAAACTGCTGGGTAGTCAAAGGTAAGATGGTGATAATCTCCCAAAGACAAAAGCTACTCAGAATTAATATTTTTGTTTAAACCTCCAAATATTGACAAAGGAAGCTCAATATGGAGAGGCTACTGACAAAAAATTAACTATTCATTAAGATGTTACTAATGTCTCATCAAAGCAATGTAAAAGCCTATCCTATGTGAAGTCCCACCTAAGTTTTCCAGGGCAAAACACTTTCTTAAACACTCCCTCCTGGATTCCCACATGGTTCCACTGTGTGACACCTACTACAAGACCAAGTTAAAGACAGGTTTTTATTTTTCCCGTTTCTTAGCAGAGAAGTAATTATATTTTAGTTGTTACAGTCTTCCACAGCTACTGATGAAAACCATGCAGCCATAAGTATCTTTGCACACAATTATAAGATCATCTGTTACTTGCTCATTGTATTCATGTATTATAGCTAGGTGCTCAGTATAGCATTACTTCAATTTTGCATTTCCCATATGCTGTGTCTCAAAAGCTGTTTAACCTTTCTACTCTCAGTATTTGTTTGGAAGAGGGGAGGAAAAAGAAAGCAAGCACCATTCAGTATTTTCCTCTCTCCAGCCAGCACCATTTCTAGTAACTTCTGAGAACAAGGTTTATAGCAGCCAAGGGTCTAATTAGTGCAACCTGTAACAGAGAGTGATAAGGACACCATACTGAGCATGAGACAGTGTTTCCCAGCATTCCTAAGTAACATTTCCTTACTTATTTGCTTCTGAAAATCCAGAACCACCACAGTTCATGTACAACTCCACAGGATGAGACAGTGTCAATCTTTTCTGGTGAAAGACAGAGACAATCTTTTCTGGAGAAAGACAGCATTTGATTTTGTGTAGTTAATATTTAATAAAAACAACAGTAGAACACATGCCTATCAAGTTGCCTTGTAAATTCGAGTGCATATCAGTTAAGGAGAAGCACACGGCACGCCTACAGCCGGCATTAGTAAGCTGCAGGACAGAAGTGCACTTACGCCTGTGCACACAGAGCACTGCTTCACCACTGAAATTGCTAGAACACATTATTTTAGTACTACCGTATGCCCCATCCTCGCACAAGAGTAACAGGCTGCATGGCACGCAGTCCTGGCTGCCAAATTGAAACATGATTCTCAGACCTGAGAGTGACTCATTTTAGACCAAATGGTACAACACACCAACCCTGACTTAGCATGCAAGAGGCTTTCTTTGAAAAGATAGGGAGTTGCAGCAGTTCTTCACAGTGCAAGACTGTGGCTACCCCAATCCCCCAAAACTTTGAGAGCAGAGGTTGCCTACAAGGATTCCTGCAAGTTATTCAGCCTTGACTCTCCAAAAAAGCCCCAAAACTACAGCAAAGGAGGAAGGAAAAAAACACAAAACCAACCAACCAACCAACCAAAAAAAAAAAAAAAAAAAAACAAAACAAAAAAACCCCCAAAAAACACGAAAAAGGGAAAAGGAAGGAGGGATTTGAGCAGCTTCTCATTTATTCACAGACAACTGAAATCAGAAAGGTGCGAGTTGTTTCACAGAAAAACTCCATCAGGAAAAAAGTTCAGGCACTGCAAGAGTTTTCTGATAAAGGGCTATGCAGAAATCTTTTTCCCTCATTTCCATAGGAAGAAGGTTTGGGGGGTGGTTCCCATTGTAGAACTGTTTAAAAAGAACATGCAGAAAGGAATGAGAGGAAAAAACTTGGTCCCTCTGGTTCCACCTCTCTCTTCTCACTTCAGTTTGCTAAAGGCTTTTGTCCGAAAGCATCCACCCCGCTCCACTCTCCCAGTCTCTCCCTAATACTCTATACCTTGTCCTTGCCATTCATCCTCTCCCTGTCCTTTACCTTTGTGAACCCCACAGATACAGGGACATAGTTCCCATCTGACTTTAGCAGGGAATTCGTCCGGAGGACTGAGGAAGTCAGGAGAGAGAGGTGGCAACCATTTTTTTGGCTAGGACTTCTTCCACTGCCTTAATTTGGTGTAAGTAAATCCAAAGAGTCTTCACGGAAGAAGAATTAAATAAATAAATCAAGTTAAAAATCAGGACAGCCCTTAAGTAAGCGAACAGTGGCAGTACTGTTAGCGTCCCTTAATCAAACAAGTGTCCATCACTTACTCCACGCCAGCCTCGGAGATGCTAGTCCTGCAGGCACAACCGCTGACCCGACGCCAGCGGCCCGTTAAAGCCCGTCTCTAACGCGTCCCCTGCCGGACCCCCGCCGCTGCGCCTCCCCCTTACCCTGCCGCGCACCCGCCAAACTTCGCACCACTGTCCGAAATACTGAAGAAACCGCCGAAAAAAGAAGGGGAAAGAGGCACCATAGACACAGAGCCCGCGGGGAGAGAGCAGCGGGCAGCTCCCCGCAGGCGGGACACCTCCCGCCCCCGCTCCGTCCCGTCCCATCCCATCCTCTCCGCGGGGCGCTTACCTGCGGGCGCTGCGCGGGGTTCCGCGGGCGCGGATGGAGGGAGGGAGGGACGGAGGGACGGAGGGACCGCGGCGCCGCCGCCGGCGCGCACAGAGGGAGGGATGAGGGGGGAGGGGGCAGGGACGGGAGGGAACGAGGGAGGGAGAGTGGGTGGGAGGGAGGGAGGGAGGACGGGCTCCCTCCGCCCCGTTGCGCCCGCCTCCGCCGGGCTGGGGCCCAGGTGCGCCCCGGTCCGCCCCGGTCCGCCCTGGTCCGCCCCGCCGGGCCGCGCCGAGCTCCTGCCCCGCTGCAGCCGCAGGGGGAGGAGGGCGGTGCGCAGGGCGCAGTGAGCTGTAGCATCCCGCCCTGCTCTTGGCTGCCCGGCTGCTAGCCGGAGCCCGGCCCGTGGAGAAGGGTACCTGGGGGAAGGGCGGTGTGGGACTTCGGGGCAAGCGCTGCCCGGCACCGGTGTGCAGTTGGATCGGGAGCAAACAGATCTCTGCTGAGAGTCTTTCGACCTCCTGCCGATGTCGGCAAGGGCAGTTCGGCAGCCACAGTTACAGGAAGCATCAGTCCGTAGCCTCACCAAACCCGTATAGTTGGAAAGAGGCAGGGTTGCGCAGTGAATACTTTTCCAGACTTAGAAGAATTATATTATTATACAAAACCTGGTTCAAATTACTTCTTCCCCCACTCCCCCACCTCCCGCCAGCTGCTCTCAGTTCTTAACTTTGGAATAGCCTGATTTAGTTGGATTGCAGGAGCATCTAGAGGCCGCTTTTGCATGTGCATGCATCCAGGGAAAAGACAGTGTATGCTGTACCGCACTTAAGCCGAAATGGCTAGGTGCTTCAAACCCCTGAAGAGATTTCTAGAGAGATTGCTTACAGCCAGCAATGCCTCCAGTAGTACAAAAACCCGTAATGAAAGACCAAGCCCATTTAAAATACTCATAAGCCTCCTGGGGAACCAGAAAGCAACAGATATAGTTCTCCTCAAGTCAGATATTCACTTGTGTACCATCAACATAGTAGTGACACTGGCTTCCACAGTTACTGACCATATCTGCTGTATCACAGGTATTGTTATTAGAAGGGTTTTCAGCTTTAGTGTGAGCAAATGCTTTTTTGTGTGTGTGTGTATCAAAAATGGTTATGTATGTATACGTGTTTCAAGAAGGCAGGTATTTTGTCCCCACACAATACTTGTCCTTGGTTTTTCACTCAGCCCTGTGATTTAGCACAGTGACTAGGCTTCAACATGCTGAAAAGTCTTGTTTAGTATTCAGCAGACCATCAACTTTGGAAAATGCTCTATTTCACACCTGGTTTCGAAGTAAGCTACCACATGTTTTCAAGGGTAACCAAGAAGCATGTTCTGTTACAAGCTCTAATACCTGGTTAAACATCCGTACACTAAGTACTGTGATAGGTCTTGATAGCTTTCTGCCTGTGCACTGGCTGCATCAGGTTGAAGACCAACTTCAGGGGTTGCAGCATGCTCAAACTGCACCGGTGCCCTCCCCTGGTGGCAGAAATGGGGTGACTTGCACGACCTGCTGGTTGAAAAGCAGGTCTTCAGAATGCAGAATTTATTGCTATGGCAATATGCTTTCCTTATGTAGCTTCATCATAAATCAGATTTTACACAGCTTCTTCGGGCAGGAACTGCCTGCACATGTCCACAGTTCCTGTCCTTGCTCGGCCAGTTGCTCAGATACCACTGTAACAACCAAGAATAATTTATAAATCACCAAAGCTTCAAGAAAAAGATGAGCTGAAAGGACTTATGTCTCCATGGTGATATGTACTACCTCAAGCATGCAGGAGCATGTTTCAGAGGGATGGTGCTGGTATTAAGACATTTGGTGGGAAGAGCTATTGAATCTGCAAATTGGGAATTACCACTACCTAGCTTCTGTAAGAACATCTCACCTAGCATGGTTACTCAGGTTGGCTGGTTAGGACCATCTCAGTGATGACTGTAGCTACTGATGACTGAAGGAAAATAGCAGTCCTGTGCTCATGAGGAAAGGCTGATCTGTGCATGAGATGGATGGAATTTTATGACAGCAAAATGATGACACACATTAAAAAAAAAAAAAAAATCCCAGTATTTCTGAATCCACCTTCAGGGAACTGATGCAGTTAGAGCAGCAATGTTGGTTTCGGTTGCTTTGATTTCTGTTAGTGACTTCAGACATTTTTGATCAGCCCTGAAACAGTCGAGTCACTTCTCATTTCTTCAAGGCAAACATAATTAACTCTCAGTCCTCCCTTCTTGCTCTAAGTAGGAAATATAGGGAATCTTTAGTAAATCTTAGAAAAAAGCAGATAGTGAGGTTCTACAGAAGACCACATGTCTGATATAGTTTAATGAATGTAACTTCTATGAGACTTGGCTGTGCTGCTCCGTTGTCTGAAACGTGTTTAAGTAATCACACACAGATGTACCGAATCACATTAGATGGGGAAGTAGTTTTCACATCCTTCAGTCTGGAAAAACGTCTGTTTCCAGAGCAAGCCACATAAGTTCCATGTGCTCAATTTTGTGAATCGATTCAAATCATAAGTATGCTTAACATGTACGCACATTGATATATTTATATTTAGTTCTCAGTGTTCATACAGTTTCAACCGAGTGTCTGCGAGATTAGTCATACAGACACAGAAAATTTAATTCCTCTTCAGTCTGGGAAAGTACCTCTGATGTTTTTAATAAAAAAAAAAAAAAAAAAGCTCAAGGAATTTGCAATTAAGATGTCTCTTCACTCTGTCACTTCTCTATGCAGTGTACCGTGGTGTTCTTTTGCCAATGGATAATTTCACTTTGGATTGGAAATGTGCCGAATCTTTCAGTGCAGATAGATGCTTTGAAGGAACTGTTAGATGAGACCACAATTAATAGTATCTTGGGAGGGGGAAGTGTCAAGCTTCAGCATTATCTAAAATAGGAGTAATTAGAGAACTTGAAAAGTGTCTTCAGTGTACATTTGTTATTGATCATTGTTAAGTACATTCCAGTTTCCTAAAATAGCACCGGCCGTAGTCCATTGTTAAGGCACGTGCTACATTACTAAGAACAGCTCCAGCAATGCATGCAGAATAAGCGCTTTCTGGAGTCTGACTTGTTACTCATCTATCATATACAGACTGCCTGAAGCCCAGTGCTCACATGTAGGGGATCTTTTCAGAACAGGATGCAGAGGAATTTGAACAAATAACAGCATTACCCACAATCAGAAAACACACCGTTCTCCAGAGAAACTAGACATATCAGAAGTGCCCCACTTCACCCTTTTCTGTAAAGCTACAGCTTAGCAGTGTTTCTGCCCTCATTCAGTCTCCTCTCTCCTCCTGTTGTGTATTTACAGCAGCAGCACATGATGTCCTATGAACCATGAACTCCTCCAAAACCTGGGGAGCTCTCAAGGTAGAAAGCATCTTTTTTCATGCAGACCCTCTTTCCCCATGACTTGGCCTCATGCTGCTCGGACCTGTGTTTGTCCTAATCCTTCTGCAGTGTAGCTGGTTGCTGAAAAGCTAACATGACAGTACTACTCCTTACAGTTCAAGCTTTGGCTTTTCATGGCTTTCCGCCTTAGTCCCTAACAGCAGGGCTGCAAGTCCACGACTGAAGGAAAAGTAGGTGCCCACAGGTGCCTGAACATATTCAGGGTTAGGGATGTGCCCACAAAAGCAGAGGAGATGGTTGTTTCCCATAGGCTCCATGGCAAAATCTGAGTCTGAACAGGCTGTTTAGAGCAGCTTAATGCAGAAAGGAGTGCAGCACTTACTCAAATGACCATCATGCTGGCTCTTTGTGAAAGGGCCTCTGGCTTTTTCCCGGCACTTGCATGGTCTGTGTTGCCCTGAAGTGGTTGCAGCAGGATTTATAAGATACTTCAGGCAAGTTATTGTCAGAAGTGCAAAGGAGCTCAATGCATGAGTGGCAAACCCAGTAATAATTCATACGGGACCATAAGACTCAGCTTTATTGTTCATAATCTTGTGACTCATGTAGCATCAGGCACTGGAGCACACAGCTGATGGCTGTGTGAAGCACATAGTGCTGGTTTGGAGAAGGGCATAGGGGCAGGAGGCTGCTTTTTAGGATGGGAGGCCAGGAAACTGGCTGTCACAGCTTCACCACTGAGGGGATGAGACACAAAAAGGAGGAGCTGGAGTTCTGGGGTAAGGACAGAGATGGGGACGGCTGCAGGTTCCATGTCAGGGAAGCAGCAGGGGGAGGCTGGCTATGTACGTCTCAAGTGGGAGAGAAACAGCCCCATGTGGCATCTGTCCTTCAGCTCCGAGGTGTGCCTGGGCAGGTGCCTGGAGCTGGGTCACCACTGCTGTTTGGGGAATCTGTGCACTTACACAAGATGCCTAAAAGCCCAAGCAGCCGCTTGTACACTGCTGATCCATCAGCATTTTGTTTTCCAGGTTCTCTAAGAAACAGCACTTGCTTGTAGGTATTGATGAAAAACTACATGGAGCATGTTTCTCTGATTTGTCTGTTCAGCAAGCATAGGGCCTCAGTCTGCCATGAAAGAACTGAAATCCCCCTTCTCATGAGGGCACAGAGAGACAAGGGAAAGCTTTATCCTCAACAAGCACAGCAGCAGCCACTGGATTCACTTCTTTAGCGCACCTCTCCAGCACCTGTCCCTCTGGCTCCAAGGGGTGCAGTGAATATAAAATCCTGCCCTGATATTGCTATTTAGCAGCATCTAAAATATTTTATCTACCCTGTAAGTGCCCTTTCACCTGGAGTTGAATGATGTTTTTCCTCTAATAAATTGAATGTCATATTTCTTTACAGCATAAAGTCTGCTGGATACCTCTGTACTGTATATAACTTTGCACTTTCAGTTTGGTCTGTTCATATATCAGATCTTTGAAGAGCTGCTGGAGCTATTATTTGAAAAAAATCAATAGTGGCAAGTGAAAGCCTCCGTTCTACATTAGATTTGCATTTCATTTGAATGACAATATTGCTATCAGTGTCTAAGTTAGCTTCACTGACATATAATTTTCCCATTTCTCTCTGTTCCAAAGCTTTGGCATCATGAACCACTAGAACTTTTCCAAGAGGTGCTGTGTCCACAGTGGGATGTAGAACACACGTGCCAGTGAAGGAGAAGTCGTGTAGGACTGAGGTTTAACAGAACAAAACTGAAAAAAGGCCCCATCCAAAACACAAAATAGAACCTGTAGTGTTAGCTGAACAGTAAAGAATTTGGATATATTTAGGTAATGAAACTCTTGCTTGAAGGTAAGATTGGGTCATTTCTGTCTGCACAGTAACAGGCCCAATGTAGAACATATGAATGCCAGATGGCTGGAACTGTTCCATTAATGAACTGATGCTTTCATTCTTCTGAATTTGATTTTGTAGCTTTTTGCTTATAATGATTTGATTGCACCATTAAAAACCTTCAATAAACTCCTGATAAATTATTCAGCCCTCAGAGTACAAAAGAGGAGATGTCTCTCGACCTCCACTTTCCGTTGGCCTT